ATTTCTGAATCATACAAATACAATATTTATATAGTAAGCAAGTAGTCTTATCAATGGCAGAAATACTGTATTTAAAGGTGTTCTTTCAATTGTAAATCAATAGGTCTCTCATAAAAAACTTAGCCCCAAAAGTTTTGCACGATTGTTGCCGAATTATTTCAATTCACTTCAATAGAATCAGGACCCCAAATAACACTACACAATTTTTACTTGTAATCTGCTATTGAACAGTAGGACAAAAGTCTTGAGAAGAGTTTCGAATATGCAATGCTTAGATTGCTGCTTTATTGTCTCCGTTACCAATAAGAGAATTGTGCAAAGACTGAAACAAATGGTAGTCGGACGGTTAATGCATCAAAACTTCCTAACCAAGTCCCGTCAATTTATTCCGCGTTATCGAAATGTGTTTGGTCTGCATTGTCATGGTAAAGCACAACTCATTTTTTATTGGCCAATTCTGGTCGATTTTCTTCGTTTGTTTCGTTCAAGCAGTCAAGCTGTACGTAGTAGAGGACCAAATTACCAGTTTAAAGGAGCACGTAATACACAATTCACTGTTTGTCCCACCAAACACTCAACATAACCTTATTTACCGTCAATTCAGGTTCTAAAGTTATTTCTGGAGTGTCACCGACTTTTGACCAATCGCTTGCATTGGGTTTTATCATATTTAATCCAATCCTCATCATCCATAAATCAATATTTTGTATCAATACTCGTACAGCTTTATACACGAGTGAGAAGTCACACAACTAACATTACAAAAAAATGTGGCCTTAAGTGTCGCCTTTCAATTATGACTTTTTTTAACATAATGGGTTTAGTGTTGCCAGATATGTATATACCAACACTATATAGTGACAAAAAACAGTAAATACTTAACAATATCACCCAATATTATAGATATATTTATTTATTATTAAGAAGGGATGCGGCACTGCGACAATCGGGTCTATTGTGCCCTATTATAGATATATACAACTCTTACTTGTATGCATGTTGGATATAATTGTTGAATAAATATAATTTCATACATTTTTGTATAAATAAAATAATTAAATTGATTTAATTTTATTTTGAGATATTTTGATATCTGATATTTTGATATATATAGGACAGTATTAAACAGTCAGTTTTGTGTCAAGAAAGGAATATACTAGGGGGTATTTTTTCGCAGTGTGTTTGCAATATATTATATGCAGACTATATTCTCGAATTAGCGATCAATCCTCTATACCAATCTGCGCTCTCTCCTCATCCACCGGGTTACGTTATTGCTGCTAAGTCTCTGAAAAAATAGCTTCGGTGCATTAAAATAAAGTTCGTCAAACTCAAAATCATCGTATCGTCTCATTTAAAAATCTATGAATCGAATCCTATGTTCTATATTTTTATTGAATGTCTAAATGTCTTATCAATATTCTCTCAGTCTAAAAAGTATACGAAGTTTATTGTATGGAAAATGCGCATTAATAACACCATAATAACTTTTTTCTATTCGCTGCACTGTGCTATATTGTCATATGAGCGCAGTCAGCTCAGCAGTCTGTTTATGTCAGCTGTTGTTGCAATTATAATTTTGAATGTTCTGCGATGGCATAAAGTCATTATATTGTAAGAGCTCAAAAAGTGCATTACATTTGATAATAATATAGTTTTAAGTCTATTTGATATATCCGGATAATTTACATATAAAATAAACAAACATTTATTATAAAAATATTGTGAATTTATAACATGAATTTATTGATAATAAAATAAAATGATGAAGCTAACTAAATATTTCTAATTATCATTAATTTTCTATATTTCATATGCTTGCTACCATCAACAACGTCAACTTTGCATTGTGGATGCCACTAAAACCGCTGTTGGTCCTTCTTCATTTGCTGTTGCTAATATTATTCTTATGCTGGCAACTGTTGCAACATGACTACCACAAACAACAATAACAATACAACAAAAATAAAATGATACTACTCACAATGCGAACAGTTCCACCTGATATACTAGATTATCCAACCAGTACCGATATGGTGGAGCGCGAAGGTTCCAATGTAACATTGAAGTGTGCTGCTACTGGATCACCGACACCAACGATAACATGGCGACGTGAGGGTGGCGAGCCGATTCCGATGCCAAACGGTTCAGAAGGTATGTGGCTGTGGCTGGGGCAGTGTCATTGGCAGTGTTGGAGGGTGGCGTGCGCACATCATTGATGCAGTTGTCCAATCGTTAAGTGTATGCATACGGGTGGGATTTTAAATTTGGGTACACCAATTTCGAACTGAAATTGGTTGTATGTATTGTTTATGTCAAAGAATTGGCAGCAGTCGCAACGGGTGTATGTATTCACATCAATTTAATTATAACAGAAAAGAATTTCCGAAAAATTCGAAAATTATTTAAAAATGCACTTGTGAGCATAGTGCATTGCGTTGGTCTGTGCAATACTGCTGTATACTTCCTGCCACGAAAACCATGGGGAAACGACCAGTGCACCATTACTAGAATAACAAGTGCACCTAACAACCGAACAACAATGCCTGCCAAAGTAGAGCAAATGTTTTTGGCCAATGATGAAAATGTTTTGCGGCATTGTTTGATTATTAAAATAAGTTAAATACACAAAATAATGATGCGGTGCATTCAGCCGCATTTGTGTTGGTGTATACTGAAGCGTATCCTTTTGTTGTCCTACGAAATTATATAGTCAACATGTCTATGTGTTGCACCTGTCCGCTGTTAATAGTTTTAGTAGAATAATGGTTAGATTTGAAATCGAATATTTTGGTGTATCTTACGGATCGGCCAACAAACACGCCCACCTTCCATACGCCGCCATTACAAAATTATAGATTAAAGATATATATCACTCGAATTTTGAAGATCTGACGTAAGTAAACATAAATAATTATCGAATATATTCACATAACCATGATAATAGCAAAACTAATATAGTTTTATTGTAAAATAAACGCAAATGAACAAACTGAATAGATTCATGACCAGCAATCAGTTCAAAAGCTATGTACATGTCCCTTATACTCCAATTGTAAAAGCTCTGATTTGGTAGATAGAAATAAATCAGAAGTATCTAAGATAATATCTGTCCTAACTGAATACTTAGCAATACGACGACATGGAGCCTAGCTAGGTCTACCTGTAGTACGTGTCTACTGGAGCTCGAGGATGATACACCGAAGCACTTGTTGTGTCCTTGTCCAAGCTTGCCTTGAACTAAGTTTGAACTTAGCGCCCCATTTCTTAGCACATCAGAGATATTTCTAACATTAATATTGGTCAGGTACTCGCGTTTATTATATGTAGAGCCTTCTATCCACAATAACGAGAAATATGGAATCAAAACTGCTTTCTTTGTTAACTGAACTAACTACTTCATCTACCTATATAGCAAAACTGAACTTTTTGATGTCTTATTTAAAAAATTTGATTTCGCCAAAACCTTGATGCCATGTATCCTAATACCCAATTAGTTAAGTTCATTAACTGCTATTAAAAAAAAAAAGAAAAGAATATGATTTAAATTATAAATATAAACACATTTCAGACAAGATAGAATCAGCTATATCCGCTTAAGCCTAGAGTCGAAGTCACAAAACTGTAGCGCATTAAATACCTAGGCTAATACGTTAAGCAGAATCACTAGAGATATGGGAAAGAATGCCCAGGTTCAACAAGATTATGGTATTCCATGATGGTGATCTGCGAACCGACCTATATATATGCCTTACAAATAAGAGTCTCTAAGTATTTAAGCATGTGTATTGTGCCTAAAATGACTTAATTTTAGACATTCATTTCCAGTTATGTGGAATTTGTAGAATTTGGAGACGTTTTGTAAAGTTTTTTTCGTACAGCTTCATTGGTTAGAATATGTTTGTTGCCAAAAAATTGAGATTTTAAAATCCACTTCAATCCATATTGGAAGTTACCCGATATCATACAATTAATTTAATAGTTTGTTATATGGTATGTGATTCGAAAAAATACGATGTTATGGTACTAATGTCAATCATGATGCGAAATCAAGCAATTTCATTCTACTACTAATGATTTCAGCATGAATAGTAATTTTTAAAATAGCACACTCCACCACCAATATTGGATTGTCACCAAGCAGTTTCAACCCATTCAAGATGGTTGTAACAATTCTTCTTGATTAGGTTGTCTTGCTACTAGGGTTAATGATAAAGAGTTTTTCTGTTTTGTTGTAAACAGCAAAATAAATTTTTTACCTTTCAAAATAAATCAATCAGCTCGAATCTGTTGCACCTTCCGTCCATATACCTTAATAAATATATATACCTTTGCAACTGATTTATTCAAGTCCATTCTGTATATGTCAGGAATATTGCAGGCATTTTCTTTTCTAAAGAACATTTGATAAATAGTCGCATTAGTGAAAATTGCATATACTTGCGGAGAACTAATATTATCTCAGAAAGCTTATGAACGGATTTGCTGGGTTAAGTTAAAGTTAAGAAAAAAACCAACTTAGTAATCATTCACCTGTCAGGAAATTTTGACGAGTTGCCACTGGCATGCGAAAGATGCCACTTCTTTAAAATATAATGGCTTATATAAGGGCTTATTAGTGGTACTGACAATGTGCCACTCTACAAACTTACCAATCAATATATTAGAGCGCCAAAAATCTTTATTATTTTTAAAACTAATTACTTAATTAATTACTTAATTAATGATAAAATCTTAATATTTCGTTACATGTATATGTGCTCTGATAAACTATGATCTTAAATGATGTTATGCCAAATAGCAAAATAGCATCCAATTCGGTAGTGTTGGTGAGCTAAGGACTTATTGGCCACTGGTTAAGCAGGTTATTTGCCCATATTGTCGTTTTTGGATTTGCTTTTCTTTTGGAAAAGAGAATTCTCGTTATCAAAAGTATCTATGTGGTATCTATGTGAAGGTGCATAGTCTATGTATCTTTGGATTGCAGTGGGTTTTCTTTATTAAACGTATTCAATACTGCTTACTGCTTCTGCGACAGCGTTTCCGTTTTTCATATGCAAATTTTGATTTGTGGTAAGTGGATTTGTGGAGTATGTTCCCTTCTGTGGCTAGAAAGTATCTACGTTTAGTACAAATATCTTCTTGTCTTGTTTGAAATGCAAAATTGCTTGTCAATGAGACTGAGAAACCGGGTTCATTACACTTTTTAAGTTAAGTAAATAAAATCATTTACTAATTTGTTTAAGATACAATATTTAAATATTCAGAAGGAATAAGATGAAAAATTGCGGGGGAGAAAATATTTTATATGCAATTCTCGAAATAAAGTGAAGCGAAAATCTAAAGGTTCACAGCACTAAGAACATAAAATAATAAATATAAACATAAACTCAATTGAAAAAAATAAAAATGAACATTACAACAATAATAATAACAACATCAACCATTACCACAACCACACAAACAACAACAACAATAACAACAACATAAATAAATAACAACAAAATAGCTAAAATCCCATCAGGTTTAATTTATTTATGTGCAATTGCATTTGCTGCGCTCTCCTTGCAGGACACAAATCCCTTTACTACCATTTTTCTAATTCCTTTTTTTTCCACTACTTTTTCCATTTCCATGCACTGCCATTTTAAAATTTTTTTCTTGATTTGCTTTTCTTTTCGTTAGTGTTTTTGTCATCTGTTTTTTTTTGTTTTTTTTTTTTTTGAGTTTTTATTTTTGCACACCTGCAATTGCTGCATTTTGTGCTTCTTCTTGTTATTTTGCCATTTTAAAAACCACCACAAAAGAACAGCAAACAAGAATAACAACAAGCACAATAACTTTGAAAATAACAATGAATATAACAACACTAACAACAATAAAATTAACAACAACAACATCAGAACTTTTGCTATTACAAAATTCTTCAGTGTTTTGTGGTTCAAGTTCTGCATTTATTTTGCTTTTGCTTTTGCCTTTTGTTTTGGTTTTATTTTTTTGTATTTTTTTGTATTTTTTTGTGTAGTCTTCTATGATTTTATTTGGGGTGCTAAAGCAAGCAAAGGGGAATAATTTTTTTATGTTCTATTTATTGTTATTACTGCTTTTGGTTGCTTGTTTGGTGTTGTTGGCGTTGTTGGCGTTGTTGGCTTTATTGTTATTATTGGAATTGCTGTTATTGTTGTTGTTATTTAAATTTTTCATGTGAAAACTTTCGTGCTGGGCTTGTAAGCGCTTTATATTGCATATATCCAAAGCACAAACCAAAAATTGTGTTCAATGTGTCGTTGTCGTTGTTGTTGTTGTCGTTGTTGTTGTTGTTCTTGTCTTTATTGTCGTTTATAGTTTATTGTTTAGTTTATTTTTTTTTTATTTATTTCTAGTTGATTTTATATGAGGTGAAAGTTTTACAAATAATATTCTATTGCATCTGACAGACAATATTATGTGCATTCTTAATATTAGAGTCATTTAATATCTTGGCTTACTTACCTATTAGGGCATTTTGCTTCCCATGGTGCAGTCATTCCCTTATGACAGCTAAGTAGTGAGGAAGGACATTCTCTATATTGAACTAAGACAACACTCGAACTTGAAAAGCAAAACAGGAATGGCTCGGTCTAATAGATTTGTTTTTGAATAACTGCAGGCATAATATATTTAAAAATTAGTCATCTACAGACTAATATCTCCTCCTCCTTCTCATATTAGAAAGAAACGATATGCATATGACAAAAATAATCCATCAAAATCATTGACTAAATAATGAAGTTTTACACTGAAAATGTTATTATCACTAAAATGTAATAATAAAGAATATAATAAAATAATTTAATAATATAATACTTCGTTCAATAATGTGTGTGACTAACTAATTAAAACACATTTTTTTGACAAAATTCGTTTCTATTCATCAACATAGTACCCTTTTAGGGAGATACAATCATTCCAACGCTTTTGCAATCTTTCGATACCGCCTTTGTAAAACGATTTTTCTTTGCCTTCAAAATAGGCGTTAGTTTCGGCGATTACTTCATCATTTGAACCAAATCTCTTACCACGAAGCATCTTTTTGAGGTCTGCGAAGAGCCAGTAGTCGCTCGGGGTCATATCTGGAGAATACGGTGGGTGCGGCAGCAATTCGTAGCTCAATT